ATTAATTAGGATATCTGGCTATGTTGACTGCTTCTAACATTCCACTCCCCCTTACTTGATTTCTAGGCCTCTTTTTTTATTTTTTTCCTAGTCTAGAAGAAGAGAAGGATAGTGTGCAATAGGTCTGCATGTCATGTTACCTTTATAAGAATACTGACAACACACCTCCTAAATTGGTACTACTGTAGATTGAAATAATACATTCGTATTAGTGGTTGGTTATCTAACATACCTTCTGATTGGATAAAACTTCTGCCACCAGGTGCGACAGAATGTCCTTTAAGCCCAGAATAATCAGCTCTATTAACACAAATAAATAATTCAACACAAACTGGTTAGAATAATCTTTAAATAACAATATATACTTTGCATCATAATTGGCTACGGTTATAATTTTTTATATATCTTTTTCTTTGCATATATTTCATATTCTCATATTTTTTTCTTATATATTTATATATATTTATATTTTTCTTATCAGAATAGGGTATGTGGGTAACTAGGACCTTAGAGGAGTAACAACCCTTCGGCCCACTTGATGCATAGTTCAATTAGGGTGGAATATGCAGGTCATTAGACCTTAGTAGAGTAACGCCCCTACCCCAAGATGGACGTTTCTTTAGGCATTACGTTTTATTTTGTCTGGTACTTAGTGGCATATCTAAAGGGGTGTGCGGGGAACACTCCCCTCAACAAAAAATCTTTCGATCCGACAGTCGCACCCCCCTTCCAAAAAAACCACGGCCAAGTAGTTAAAAATCACTTCAAATCACCTTACTTTGCGAGCTAGCACACCTTCAACTAATCATTGAGTCCCCGCTGCACCTTCAAGGCCACCCATCAGCACCTCCCCTCCCCCATTTCAAGACTTCCTAGATACACCACTGCTGGTACTAAGATTGAAAACCTACCTGCCACCAATACCAAACTTGTATTCTCCTTCTGAGATGAACTCTTCATCAGAATCATCATAATTCAGGACATGGCTTGAAGCAAATTCCATTATGAAAGATTAATCTACAAAATTGGGAAAATAATTGGTTGTTGTCATCGCAATACTCTCGGACTTGAAAATGATGGCCTATATTTTAATAATATGGATTCACATACTACAACAATGACATAGATTTTCTAAAATACAATAGACCATGTTTCATTCATTGGATCTAAAATGAAATGATGGAATATTGCATTCAACTGAGATGCGACATTGAAGGGAATTATATTATCTTTCACTCATAAAAATATTCCATATCATTACACTCATAAACATTCAATACTTCCCGGCATACTCAGCATATGACACTTGATTATCACTACAATAAAAATATGATGATGATGATGGTCTTCGATTGTGCCTGTGGGCAGGGAGTTGTTAATGTTATAGTGTTGTGGGATAGCTTACTTCTCGCTCACTCAATAAAGTTGATTCTCACAGATATTTCTATAGCTGAGATTGGTACGGTTTGTCCGTCATGATACGTAGTGTAGGGCGCCATACACCTTTTGTTTACCTCTAACAAGCAAGTACCACAGGCACCAGCTACTCCTTTTTCAGCACTCTCCTCACCAAGTACAGGTTAGGTAGGGCTCATTGGGGCTATAACTATAAAGTATAATGATGGGAATACAGACACCAGAACAGGTAACCGTATATAAAAATTTAGGCTTAATCGGTAATCCTGTAAGGTATTCTCACAGAATCCGTATTCCTAAAGCCAAATTTGGTACGGTTTGATTGATTTCACCAATGAACAATAGCTTACATTGTTTACCTCTAACAAGCAAGTTGTACCAAGCACCAGCGACCACTTGTTACGGTTACTCTCCTCACCAGTAGTCTCGTCGGGGCTAAGCACGATGATTTGAAATCCAGGCAGCAAGACAGGTGGGCCTACCTATGTCTATTACGAACTAGAATGTACAACAAATAAATACAGTAATAATAATTTGGCGCTGAAAGTATCAATAACCTTATAAATCAAAGATTGCAGCTAATTTAAACTGAGTAACAGATGATTAATTATCAATGACGTAGCGTTCATTCTCAAGCTTCTTCCCCATCAGTCGGGGATGACTGGCTTAGATCAGAATAATGTACCTACCTGCATTCTGATTGGCTAAAAGAATTCTATGGCGCCATTATTATATCGCACTTCGATAATTTTTATATGAATCATTCAACAAATGCCAATGAAAAAATTTTGGAAAATTAATATAATAGACCTCTATTTTATATTCTTACTTTTCATATTTATGTGGGTTCTTTTAATTGCAAATTAGAATGAAAAAAAATGCATTCACCAATAAACGAACGCCGCGCACCCTTAAGTGAGGTATCATGCAGGAAAAATAAAAGTAGGCCTAATCCACTACAGATGAAAATATTGGCAGATTTCACATATTAACTAATTTTTTTATTATGACTATATCTAACTGGCACTTTCAGACCTTTCACTTAATTAGTGAAAGGAGGTCTGAAAATGGTTAGGCCTTGAGCTTATCATTTTTATGCTGGATAGGCTATTTACAGTAGGATATATCGATACTTAATGTTGTACTTTAAAATAAGCAATTCGAATTTAAATTACTGAACATAAGGGAATTATTATATTTTCATTTCATTCATACTAACATTTATTTTCTTTCATTGGCATGAGTTACAAAAACATACAATATCATGATATAAAAAAAAGAGAATGATATATCATGATAAAAAAAAAGATAATGATATTTATTTCAAATTGAAAACAAAATTTAAACGCATCTAAATTGAAGTACTCGGCTTCTCAAATAAAATGTTAATGTCTCAATGTCATAGGATAGGCTTAACGATTTATGGCGGAACCTATAATTGACATGACAATAGGCCGTGTTACGAGAAAGGAACCTCCCTCGCTTGAATTCGTGGTTAGCAACTACCTCAATAGAACGTGTCGGATTAGAGGTGATTGCACTATTTACCTGTTGACACGTTCTCTCAATGGAATTTTTCTGTTTTTATTTCAGTTAGGCCTAAGTTCAATTAAGTCAAAAATAATTTCCTTGTAAAGTTGTTGTTTTGGTACTTATCATTGCCATTTTGGTGTATTGCCGTTTTGGTCATTGGCGTTTTGGGTTATTGCCGTTTCGACTGTTACCGTTTAAAGTCCTTGATCGTATGCTCTAATTTGGTCTTTGGATGATTTTCTAATAAGATTATTATATCTAGATATGCTGTCTCTTATACACATCTAGATGTGTATAAGAGACAGCGTTGATACACCTTACCTTGGGCCGTGTTTCAATTTTATCTAGGCTACTACTCTGCTTTTGTTTCAGCTAGAAACCTGAACGTTAAATCAGAAATTTTAAGGGCTAGACCTATGCATTTGGCTATAATAAATTTGGTTATAAGTTATAAATTTGGCTATAGGATAGGCCCTGTCTCTTATACACATCTAGATGTGTATAAGAGACAGCAATAAGAGAACCGTTATCGGGGGTTACATAAAAGAAACAAGTCATAAAACGCTCATGTAAAAATGCACTGTACTGATTAAACGTCGTTAATGTTGTTGAGAAATTGTCTTCTTGTTCGAAGTTTTAATCGAATACGCCTATCTTTTAAATTCATTATTTTTTTCATAATTTAAAAGAATGTTTATCATGAACTATTTCTAACAGCAATAACTACTGCATACAAGAACAATAACAATAACAAAAATATATAAAGTATAAGAATAAGAACAACAATAACAATTTTAACAATCTCTCTCTCTCTCTCTCTCTGGGTTTCTGATGAGACTGATTCGGAACCGATTGTATCCTCTTTGCGATCGCTTTCGCTAGTCAACGCCAATACCAAAACGGCTAGTCAAAACGGCAATGACAAAAACGTGTTTTAGTGTTTAACTCGTATTTACCTTCATTTGATGGTTTTATTTTACCTGTGTGACTAGTATAAAAACATTTAAACTCAAATAATATTAACAAAACATATGATTCAATATTTATTTTGGCATAAACCATCAGTTCAGTTTATTTCACATCAAAATATTGTACTAAACAGATAGAATTCGCACAAGGCAGGACAAATAAAATAACAATAAAATATGATGCAAGGATGGCCTATGAACGTTTTCTTTAGGAAGTAAAACTTATTCCAATGTGGTAATACATCAAGCCAATTATAAAAATGAGAATGTACAACAATTAAATATAATATTTAAATAATTTATATATATCAATAAACATTAAAATACAGAGGTTAAAAAATGAGGCTAAAAACATTTATGTCATAAAAGTTAAAAACACGAAGAAAAAACAACAACATACAACAACAACAACAACAACAACAACAATAATAATAATAATAATAATAATAATAATAATAATAATAATAATAATAATAATAATAATAATAATAATAATAATAATAATAATAATAATAATAATATAAAAACAATCCAATAATAAAACGGGGGGAAACACAATATAAAAGGGTGCAGTAAACATTCAAATAAATAAAACTTTAAAATAGAGACAAAATGAAAAAATGAAATTGCAGCCCGCGCCCGGTGGCGCTTTCTCTTGTTATTGATTTTGCTACATTGCCGTTTGGTCTATGTGCCTATTGCCTTTTTGGTAGGCCCTACTATCATTGCCGATTTGGTTTATTGCCGTTTTTGTTATTGCCGTTTTGGTTCAATTGCCGTTTTGACCTCCCTTTGCGCGATCGACTTTAAAATCGGTGTAATTTATATAGGATAGTCGTGCGCATGCGTGGGTCGCCAGTAGCAACACATAACTTGTTGTCGGAAGCGATGTGAATACATGTGATTTTGTGGAGAAAGATCTACCAGAAGATCTACGCAGTACGGCCTATTTTTAGCTATTTATCTCTATAGTTGAGACAAGTAGTTGGTAAGTTAAAATGTTGTGTCTGTTTAGAATGATGTATTGTTTCGTTTTCGTTGAAAGATTAGACATATTCTTCTGAAATTGTTCGCATCAATCAAAATCACAAACCCATTCACCGGCCGATCGTCAGTGAAATACATCATCACTCACGATTAGCCCACCCAGGCTTAGGCCTAGGCAGAGGCCTCACAGTCACGGCTCTCCCTGTCAGGGGATGTGTTTTGTTTAAAAGGGCTTAGGCCAGGTTCTAGCCTATTCTTTCGATATGGTTGGTAATTCACCAAACACGGAACAGAAAAAGTTAAATTGATTTTGATGAATGATGAGGAGAGAGTGTGGATCACAGAAAGAGGACAGCTCAGTCGTCTTATGAATATGAATAAAGCTTATGAACATGTTAATGTGTAATTTTGAACAATTAACAGCTCCAATTGGAACAACACTCAGTGTGGTGGTAGCTACTGTTTACAACGTTGATACACCTTACCTTGGGCCGTGTTTCAATTTTATCTAGTAGGCTACTACTCTGCTTTTGTTTCAGCTAGAAACCTGAACGTTAAATCAGAAATTTTAAGGGCTAGGCCTATGCATTTGGCTATAATAAATTTGGTTATAAGTTATAAATTTGGCTATAGGATAGGCCTAGGTAGGCCTAATTTACATTAATTATTATTTGATATTCAAAAAGATTATGTGTCCACTTTAAAATTAATGCTGATATTTCAATGGTAATTGGTGGTGTGTTGTGGTATGCACCTTTTGTGATAATCAAGTGTAAACTTTCTTATTATTGTCATCTTAGCAAAATTTATTTATATAATTTTATGGCAGGTAACATCAAGATGGGTCGGTTACCAACTGGACCTAAAACTTACCACATCAGTGCTAGTCATGGTCCAGACACTGATATGATGAAGTTTTACTCAACAAACTATTCTACTAAGTTTGGAAAGGAGGGGTTTGAACCCCGGCTGGGCAAGCATGTTGGGACAGGTTACAAGTCAAACTTCAGGCCAGGAGTCTACTACAGTGCTAGGTTGGACGAAAAAGATAATCCAGCTATGGGGTGAGTAATGTGAGATCTCACCCAAAATGAAGCACTTGGTTTGAAAATAAAAATACTGTGCATCATATCAACACATACACTTTAAAGGCTTTCTAGTCTAAACGGCAATAAGTCAAAACAGTAATGAACTAAACAGGAACACTTTTTGACCAGAACGGCAATGGACCAAAACGGCAATATGTCAAAACGGCAATAAGTCAAAACAGCAATAAACCAAATAAATAAATAAAACCTTAAAATACACACAAAATGAGGCTACAGCAATTTATGTCATAGAAGTGTCATTAAAACTTCTCAAAGTGTCAACATTTTCAAACCGTCTGAAAGCCTACCTGTTCTCGGAAACATTTCAAATTTAACATTGTTGAGCACCTTTGAACATTATTAATGGATACCGGCGCTATATAAATGCATTTGATTGATCGATTGATTGATTGAGGTAAAATATGCGAAAAACATTAATAATAATGATAATAATAATAATAATAATAGGCTTACTAACAACATACAAATTCAATAATTAAAAGATTGGGGAAACACAATAATAATAAATACAGACAAAATAAACAACAATCTATGTTATAGAAGTAAAAACATAAAAAAAACATTAATAATAATAATAAAAATAATAACAGGCCTAACAGCAATATAACAACATACAAATTCAATAATAGAAAGATTCAGGGAAGCACAATATAAAATATAAAAGCAGTAAGCATTCAAATAAATGAAACTTTAAAATACAGACAAAATGAGGCTAAATAATGATAATAGGCCTAACAATATACCAACATACAAATTCAATAATAAAAAGGAGTAGGGGAAACACAATATAAAAGCAGTAAACATCCAAATAAATAAAACTTTAAAATACAGACAAAATGAGACATCTAAGCAATTCGTCCCGAGCCTGGCGGCACTTGCTCTTGGTATTGATTTTGTCGTTTTGGTATTTGTCATTGCTGATTTGGTCTGTTGTCGTTTTGGTACTTATCATTGCCATTTTGGTGTATTGCCGTTTTGGTCATTGGCGTTTTGGGTTATTGCCGTTTCGACTGTTACCGTTTAAAGTCCTTGATCGTATGCTCTAATTTGGTCTTTGGATGATTTTCTAATAAGATTATTATATCTAGATATGTGAGCATTATAAATTTAAATGTGCATTGTAACCGTTTTAGAGAAAATCAGCCTAAAGTTAATAAAATAATAAGACTGAAATCATCAATTATGATTTAACTCTTTTGTTGCATTATTTCTTTTTCAGACGAATCATCCAAGGCAATTATAACTCCATTACTCAACTTCATTTCAAGCCCTCTAAAGACTCAAATGGAAATGATAGGCTGCCTTGCAACCTGGCACAAGTCGGTAGTGGATTTGTTCGTCAGAAGCCTATTACATATCCAACTGTTGGGGAGGTAAGGCATGAGTTTTCTTGCATCCTGTAACCAACTACTAGCATTGTGGCTCCATTTGGACAAGCATGATCCCCTGTTGTTGGACACCACTTGAGGTCTTACGGTTTGACCTTAGTTTAACCCTTAGCAGCCACCACAATTGCTACAAGTACTTAACACCTGATCAACAACTTGTGACGGTATGTTTATCTTTTATTGTAGGTCCGCGGAGTATACGTTGACACAAAACAGCATGGGATAGGTCCAAGCATCAGCGGAGTATTACCAAAATATCAACCATACCTGCATAAGTTGCAGTCAAAGGATCCAGTTGCATTGGAACACAAAGGACATGTAAGAATTTATTAATCTCAATTCATGTCATACACTTGTCACTTTTTATTGTAACTAGAATAATATGCAGATTCTATATTTTCTTTTAGGGTCCAGGATACATGTCAACGGAGTCAAGTGTACGGTTCAAAGGCACACCAAGTCAAAGATGTAAGTGCATTTGTGGTAGGAAAGTTCAAAGTTTATGTTTCAATCAAGAGCACTGATCTTCTGGACTTCTCAAATTGCTGAATATTTGAAATTGAATAGGTTTAAAAGAAACCAGAATTTTTGGATATTTATTAAATTATTTGTTTGTTAATATTAACAGTTTGTAAACAGAAAACGTTTTCTTGGAATGGAGCTTTAAATTGGTGGTTAAGGAACTTCAGTAAAAGCTCACTAATTACGCTATCAGAGATTCCAAGTTTAGACAAATTTGCACGCTTGAGACTTTTGAAAATTCCTCCCTCTAGGGGTATGGGAGATTGATCCCCCAATCCAGGAAATTTTATTTCCAAAATGCTCATTCACGATTTGCATTTTTCCCTTTTATATGAGAATACATTCATTTCAGGTTGTCTCTACGTAAATGTTTTGACACTGGCATGAGCTGGCAGTATGTACGCATCCTTTGATCTTATCCGACAGCGCTTTATAAAACCACATATCTACAGTGTTAGTGCAGCTAGTTGATAATAATTATAATGTTTAGTAAAAAGAGGGCAGGCTACAAGGGTCATAATTCATATACATATATTTTATAATATAGGCATTACTTTTTTGCATGAGACAGACCCCAAATGCTTGAGTCTTACCCCAAATGCTTGAGTCTTACCCCAAATTACTGTATGTACCATACTAATATATGCCTTGGTCAGCTGGTCATGTTTATCACTGTGCGCATCAAAATACTATAAGATGTGTGTGAAGAAAGCTCATTAAACCAGACATTCCTTTAGTGGCTTCTAATTTTATACCCCTGAGCTTGTATGTAATATTCCTTTTCGTCTTTTTTAGTGGACACTTCAACTAAAACTGTTGGAAGGAAAGAAGGCTCTGGTTACACCCATGCATACAACTTGGAACCAATCACTTTCCATCCTGGGTCGCCTTTCAAAAATGAAACGCCTGTAAGTTCATATTCACAGTCATACGTTATTGATATTAAACATTTAAAACCTGTAACTTTTATCATTTTATTAAAATCTTAAAAATGTTTAACTTGTCAAATTCTTTTAATCTTTAAACTTTAATTTTTTTTGTCTAACTTTTTAATGGTTTAAACTCAAATGGAATTTTTACACTTCATTGCAATGTTTTTATCGTCCATTTTTACCCCTCATTTTTCGGCATTGCCGTTTTTCTTATCCTTCTGATTTCTTACTTCTGTGTGTTGTATTCTCTATTTTAATGTAAGGACCCCAACGGAAATAAGGTTTCTTTTTTGACCTTTTTTGGGTCATCCTTAGTACCATGTCATTGTCTTCCCTGTTACTGTTTGCTTTGTATTTTTGTATGTACTGGTACTGAGTAAAATCAATCAATCAATCAATTATGATCTGCCATCTCAGATATGAGGTTTCCTTATCCTATCATTACTGTATTATCATTGTTAAATATTCATTATTTGTTATTATTTTATTATTATTGTTTATTAATAGTGGAAATATGCAGCATGGTTATTATTTATTATTATTATTATTGTTATTGTTGATAACATATTGTAAATGAGTTTGTATACCACCATAAAGACAAAAATTAATAGTGTACTGCAATTTGTCCTTGTATTGTTTTAGGGATTCTTAACAGACCGTCCAACTGGAGTGAGTGTTATGAAGACAAGCTACAGACAGTCACGTTACAGCCATGTAAGTTCTTAAATTTTCAAATATACAGAAACAAAATAATCAAATCTTCAATGCATTTAAGGAAACCAAGTATGCAGTGTGTTTTATACTGAAGCTAAATTTTTTTCCTCATCTCTCAGGGAGCAGAAAGGTTGCCAGTTATTTCGAACCGGTCTGAGCATGAAACGGGATTCACTCATGAGAAAGCAAAACCACTGTACGTCCACAGAGTGATGGAACATGTAAGTCATATTAAACAAATCTAGAGAGTAATGTGATAAATTAATATTTTATATCTTGAAGGTGCAGATACACTTTATTTTCATTCACATTGATTGAGATGCACTTGTGATTGAGATGCACTTTCCATGAGAGCTACAGTTTGGTGGTCATAGAGATAGCAATAAGTATTCAAAATATTTATTGAAATGATGTGTACACTATTGCTCACTTAAACTAGACATTTTTGAAGAGACTTCTCCTAACTTTATATCCCTGAATTTATTTTGAAGGCATATACAAAGAAGAGTGACATGCCAAAATATGTAACTGATAGAATACGAAAAATAGACCCAGCTGAGTACCTAAACTTGACCAACCCGGACAACCATTCGTCCATTGCAGCGAAGTCATTCCAGGGACAGCAGCAGCCAACGCCCAGTGAGAACGAGAGGCTTGGGCACTTTGTAATGGGCAATAAGGTGAGATTGACTTAATGCTAATTGTATATCCCTGCTGTGGAGCTTATGCAGTATTTCACCAGAACACATTATCCAAAGATTATTGTCTTTTGGGTTTATATTTATTTAATCATGATTACTTTTATAGGTTTTGTCGTGATCAACAGATGTTGATCAAAATTGATTTGGTGAAATTAATTCTCTTTATAAGAACTACTAATCCTGCATTTAATTTTAATTTTATTTTAACACTAATTTGTTACTGATTCACCGTATGTATTATATTAGAGAAGCTGGTTTAAATAATCAACTATATTTTTATTTGTAATATTGTTTTCTTTGATTTATTATAGGAATTATCAGGGTATGCAGACAACAATGATAAACCTAAGTTACAGTTACCTGTGGAACCTTATCGTTGGATTACTCACTACGATACCAAGTAAGATCAGCTAATATAACCCGTTTTTCTTGTCAATGAAATCCCATTATGGTCAACTGATGATAGTGATGTCAAATTTTAAGTGACAATGCCTTATAACCATAGTATGACTAACCCTCTTTTTAAGATTTGAATCTTGCATTTCTTTGTATTTCCACAGGTTTTATGACATGAATCCAAAGGGTAAAGCACGAGCGGGTCGCACATTTGGTGCAGTGATGGACCAGTTACCCAATGGCTTTACTAAGAGCACAGCTGTACATTCCTACGGACCAGCACTGGACACTACTGGACAACTGAGAAATCTCGAACCATATGTAGCCAGGTAAGCTAACAATGTCAATACGTTTATTATATTTTTTATGCCTTCCTTTTTTTGTTAGGTATCCAAATGGATGGGAAATTCCAAGGGAATATCCCACCCTTTCTATCAGCAGTCTGCTTCCATTCAGTTTTTAAAATATTTTTAATATTTCCATATTCATGTTTAATTTTGAATCTTTGAATTATAGAAGTATCAAGGCAACTGACCGTTTCTATGATGACCACACACACGATATGAAGTTGCACCAAAAGATGGCTGCCGTATTTTGAAATCAAAATAACCATTTGGATTAAAAGTACAAAAATGTTGATCCAAAAGAATTTAATAAATCAGTGAAAGATGAGAATTGAGATGTCTTCTTTAATTTTTATTGTATAATGTAACTATTGCAATAATAACAATTATGCTAATTAATAATATAGAAGAATTGTGTATGTTATGGATTATAAAGTACAAAACTGTAGCATCTAAAGTGAAATTTTGTCAATGTGTAGTCTAGTGGTATAGAACGGCTCTTGATAGGGGACTCCATTTATAATCTCCAAAACTTACAAACATCACCACACACCATTTGAGGCATGTGGCAAAATGGCTAAGTTGTAGCAAAAATTGAAATTCAAGTTATTGGTATTTTCAGATACCTGAGTATGTGATCTTTAAAATGAGAGGTCATTCATTCAAATTGGACATTTCAAGCCTAAGGTATTGGAAAGTGAAAGTACAGTACTCTTAGAATCAAGATAAACATGATTTTGAGTAATTGTCTTTCAATGTTACTTGTGCATACATTGTTTAATAGAATGAACTATAAAAAATAATTTTAAATAAACAATTTGTTAACCACTTCCAGAACTAATACTTTGGGACATGATTAATAAGACATTAA